CTGCCCCTAGTGACGCCTGCCTCAGAAGAGCCAATGCGTTCTCTTTCTCAGGACTAGGTGTCTTTGTATTTGAAATAAGGCTTAAACTACAGAGCGAAATAGTTCTCACTACAGCAAAAGAGCATATTGATGTTGAGAAATTGATGGCAAAAGGACCACTTTCAGGGTATGGTTGAGTATTTGCCATAAAATATTTAAAGCTAGTTGACGAATAGCCCCGCTATTCTCCTGTGAATGCCAACCACTAGATTAATCTTGAAAGTAAGGAATACGGTATTTCATTCCGTGTTTAGCACGGGGAAAGGGAATGACCTTCACTAAGCAACACCCCAGAGTGCCTGCAGTGAGGGAGCACAGCTCCTGCTACGACAGCCACACTCACCCTGCAGTGCTTTCTTGTCTGCTTTTAAACTTCAAAAGAATGGTGAAACAAAATAAACAAATTACACCACCGTAAGAGCTACCCTGCAAACAATAAATCATGTGAGTTGTAACAGCCGGTGATGGAGGGTGGAGTGGGGATTGCAAATATTTACTCCATCAAAATTTTATTCTTATGTTTCACCGTTTCAGTCTTTTTTGTTCACAGCAAAGGTAGTATCCTTAAATGACCATCCAGTTCTTTTTTTGCTGCTGATGTGTTACTCAATGTCTTGTAGCTCAGCAGTCACAGCTACTAATGTGGAAAGTACTGGCATACAAGAGAACCATTTACAGATGTCCTTAATTTGCTCATTTATTCAAGAGTAAACTATTGAACAACATCCACTGAGCACCTATTGTATGCAAAGTATGGTAGACAATACAGGGGCTGGGCAAACAAGGATCCTGCTCCCACCATGCTTTTTTTTTTTTTTTTTTGAGACAGGGCCTCACTCTGTCTCCCAGGCTGGGGTGCAGTGGCGTCATCATAGCTCACTGCATCCTTGAACTCCTGGACTCAAGTAATTCTCCCCGCTCAGCCTCCCAAGTAGCTAGGACCACAGGTTTACTACAACGCCTGGCTAATTTATTTTTTATGTTTTTAGAGATGAGGTCTCATGTTGCTCAGGATGGTCTCAAACTCCTGGCCTCAAGGGAAGGGATCCTCCCACCTCAACTTACTGAGTCACTGGGATTATAAGCATGAGCCACCATGCCAAGTCCACTATTAATGGACTAAGGAAATGAAATATATACCAAAAGTACCATTAAAATGAGAGCACGAGATCTGCACATTGAGAGGTACAGTAGATGGGCTAGAGAAATCTAACAGAAGAAGAGCTATTTTCTGCCTTGGGAATCAGGGAAGACTTTCCAGAGAAGGTGCATTCTAGTTGAACCCTTTTAGTATGGGAAGCATACTAAAAGGATGGGAAGCAGGAAGGAATGGCAGAATCCAGTGCTGCTAGCCCCAAGGGCATAGGCCACTGTGAAAGAGGGTTGCATTTGTGAAAGGGGGGAACAGAGATCAGATTGGAATGGTAAGTTTGGAAGGCTTTGAATGCCAGATGAAAGCTAAGTTAAAACAAAACGATAATTTCTATTCTTAAGAAGACCACATTATCCACAAGACTCCTTTTATCCCATAAGTCTTTTAATATTTGGAGACAAAAGGTGGAAATGTCTTTAAAAATTCTACTTTCCAAACACCTAAGATTTCTCCTTTCCACTGGCAAATAGGTATTACCTAGAATTAAGGCAATACATACATGAATAAAATAGATGATAACTTTTTCATTGTTTCATTTGGAGAAATACACAAACAGGTGCCTGAGCCTACCAAAGAGGGACATTAGCATTTTATTTCCAGCATGTCCTGATAACTTACTGCTACTAGACATTTTTGCAAGGAGCAGCCAGCCTTTAGGCTCCTGAATCTAAGAAGGATGATAGTGAATTATTATTCATATTGAGTTTTCTCCATTGGTTATGGCTTTATCAATCCAGATGATCAATCAACTTTCAGATTTTAGTTCTGAACCTGGAGCTTTCTGTTTGGTGTTCAAAATAATGGATGTCAAAGTAATAGCTCATCTCCTACCGACAGACTGGACCTCCCCGATCAGCACATCTCTGTTCAGCAAGCATGTTTATTGGCCTTGTATCCCTCTTCTGGCCCCAGGATCCAGGAAAACATGAGTCTCAGCTTTTTTCTACTTCTGTACAGCACAGGGTGGCCTTCAGGTGGTGCCTTCACAGCAAATACTCCCCTGTCCCTTCGTCTGTCAATTTAGGACAATAAAAATAATCTGCCTCACAGAGTCATGCTTTACTTTCTCCAGTTAAAACTCTATAAGGCAAATATGAGTATCCAAACTGCAGAAACAGAATCTGTTGTCCTTATGTGAAATTTCGAGATGAATAATGAAACCTGCTACCCTATTGCACAATTTGGGACAAGAAATATAAGCTATAGGTTGAAGATAAGACATTTCCCCCTAGTAGAACAGGTCACAGTTGGTTAGTTATCTCCAGATGCAATGAAGAAAGCAAAAATTGTTCAAACTATACATTCCTTCCTTAAAGTGAGCAACTTACAATCACTTTGGAACACAAACGTCATGCCAGGTACACTGCAGCTTTCCACATAGCGTCTTATTTAATCTTCACAGCATCCTGTGTTATCAGATTTTTGAGGAAGGTGGAGAAACTGAGGCTCAGTAGGTCTAAGTAATTTGTTCAAGGTTGCAGCTAAGTAACAGAGCCAGAGTTTGAACCCAGTTGTCTTCACCCAGTTGTCTTCGAAGCCCAGATGGTAACAATTCGACCAGGCAACATAGCCAAGTCAGATAGTCCACCATCTAAAGACCTGGAGGGATACATAGATTACCAGTCAAACAAGTAAGTGCTGTTTTCTACCAGAAGAACTCTGGGGAAATAATAAGTTCCTTCTGATCTAATCCACAAGCCAGTGTGTGATGGGTCACGTGTCCCTGAAGCCTCCAGATTAGGAAATGCATGATTTCATGCAGTCCACAAAATAAAGGATAGTGGTAGGGGGCTGGGAAAGCAGGGGTGCTTGGGTCTCCTTAGACCAGCCAGGGCTGTTTCAAGGTCCATATAGTTGAGGGTCAGGAAGACACAGTCCGACGTGACTGAAGAGTGCTGACACGCCTTTAACAGTTTAGCAAGCTGTATTTTTAAAAAATGGACCTTAATGGGAAGACACACTGGGATAGCATCCTGGAGGGACTTTTTTTTTTTTTTTTTAAGTTCTAATCAACTAGAAAATGTGACGTGGGTGCGTACTGTGATTATTTAACATTCATTATTCACTGTATGTTAGGTGCTTGGTTGATGTGAATCCCCAGGGCCTAGCTGCTGTTCTGTGTCACTCCTGATAATTTTTAAATTGACTATGTTCTTTTAACCATGTTTTAAAAAGTTGAACTACCCCAATGTGAACACTTTCCATTTTTGCTATATAATGAGAGTATTTTCATTCCTTTAATGCTTGCTTTTCCCTTTGATTTAACAATTTCTCTTCAAATTTCACAGTTTTCTGTTGCTTTAGGATTGAAAGAACAGATTAGCCCGCTGGGAGCGTGAAACAGATTAAAAAAAAATCTGCATGATATTTCCTCCCAGTGAAATTAATTTAGGTTTAAATACAGGGGGGAAGGGGCACACCTTGTCCTCGAGTCTCTTTCTGTCACACACCTGAGCAGTTCCTATCCTGAAAGGGCACAGTCGGACTTGCTGCTAAGTCAAGTCTTTTGTGAGAATCTTTTTTGCAAGGCACAGTAGGAGAACCTTTTTCTCTTTGACACCCGGCTTTGTGTGGGCCTGATGACACGTTTGGACGGCTCTATTTCTTTGAAGGCCAACCTCAGAGGCCCATGGACGCGTCGGGCACTGTCCGTGGCTGGGTTACTTAAGTGTAGCTGGGTTGGCTTCCCGGGTGTTTTAGGAAACGCACCTTCTTGCAGGGCAGGGGCCGTCAGCTCCAGAGCAACAAAGGATAATTTGGAGGGGAGTGGAAGGAGCGCTCCACAGTGGCTCTGTCATCCCAGGTTCCCTTCTGCCTAGCACCGTGGCCCTAGTGATCCCGCCTTCGCCCTCTGGATCCCCCACCCCCACTGTCTCGCTGCTCCAGAGCCCAGCGGGGCGCGGCGAGCCCCACCACCTTCCCCCACACCCTCCCTCCCCATCCCCTTCAAACCCTACGAGCAGCGCTGCGCGCCGCAGCCGCGCTCGCCCCGCGCCCCGCGCCGGCCTCCCCAGCACCCCGGGGACCCGGTCCCCCGTCTCGCCTCCCCGTGTCCAGCAATTCACAGCCTCCCCCTCTAGCCCCACTGGCGGGAGCTGTCAAGCCCGCGGTAGCCGAACCAGCCCCCGTGCGCCCGCGTCTCCTCTCCTTCCTTTGTGTGTGCGCGAGCGGAGTTGGGGCGGAGGGAGAGGGGGAGGTCGCTCTGTCTGTCCGTCTCCCGCCGCCTCTGCCCGGGCTACTCGAAGTGCGGCCGGAGAGGCGGGAGCCCAGGAGAGGGTGCGGGAGCTGGCGGGGCGGCTCGGGGCCGCCGGGACGCCCTGGTCCTAGTCGCGCACAGGGTAGCGCGGCCGGCAGAGGGGCTCGGCGGGAGCCGAGATCCGCCCGTCCCGGCCGCCCCTCGGCCTCCCTCTGCTCCCACCTACCCCCTGACACCCGGAGAAAAGCGTGCAAAGGCGCGGAGCGGGACGGAAACCATAAATAAATAGCGGCGGCGGCAGCGCGTCATCTGGTGGAGCAGGAAGTGCAGGCAGAGTCCGGAGGCTGGTGCTTTCTGCGCGTCCCCAGGACTTTGCCATGGGCTGGGGGCCGCGGAGGCTGCGAGCGGCCGGGCGAGGGCAGCGGCTGCGGCGCCCGCACCGGGGCTGAGCGAGCAGCGACGCGAGGGGCGCGCGGAGATGGCAGCGTCCAGCAACTCCAGCCTGTCCGGCTCTTCGGTGTCCTCCGGTGAGTTTCAGCCCGTCGGGCGCGGCTGCCGCGCCGGGTCTCGCCCCCTGCCCTCGCTCCGCACCCTGGGATGGACAGAGCCTACCTGTGGCCGTCCCGCCCGCTCTCTTGGAGTGGGGGCAGGCATCTGGGGTGACACTTGTTTGGTTCGCTAGCACCTCGGTGCCCAGAGCACCTCCGCGCCTGACATCTGACAGCGCAGAGGTGGGAGAGCGGTGGTGCCCTTAGTGTGCGGACGCGGGTGTTCTCGGGCTTGGGGTGCAGCGGGCGAAAAGCGAAAGGAGCGGGCAGGCTCGCACTTTCTGGCGCAGCTGGAGCGGGGGCTGGCGGGGCGGAGAAGGTTGAGGTCAAGCTGAGCGCCCCGACCTGTTTGCCGTGCCTCGTCCGCTACCCTGGACACCCAAATCCGGAGCAGAGGGGAGCAAACCCTCGTTCCTCGCAGACTTGATTTTCTTTGTTTGTTTCAGAAATTAGCTCTGTGGAGACACTCGCTTGGGCATGGGTTTGAGACAGCAGCGATGAAGGGATGTGTCTTTCTGATCCTGATTGAAGTGGGTTAGGGGAAGGGAGGTCGAGCCCAGCCTCTGACTCTTGGCATATTTACAAGTTGTGTGTGTGTGTGTGTGTGTGTGTGAGAGAGAGAGAGACAGAGAGACAGAGAGAGAGAGAGAGAGAGAGACAGAGAGAGAGAGAGAGAGAGAGAGAGAGAGAGAGAGAGACTCCTTAGACATTTTCTAATAATACTGTCTGTAATTTCACCAGCAAGGCATACATTTTTTTTTTTCCTTTTAAGTATGGTTGAGCAAAGGGAAGGCTTCTTTCAGCTTTTCTATGGTTGATCCTCGGGTCTAATTGAAGAGAAAAAAATTGCTAATGAATCTGAAAGAGTAGGAATCAATAGAAGCAGACCTACTGGTTTCTGAGTATGACAGGTTTCTAATCAGAATGATGCATTAGGTAGAATTCCTCTACCTCTCTGGTCATTGAAAACTTTAATGACAAACCCAAAAGGACAGCTGATAAGACATTTAGTGTAGTATACGGTATTTAAGGGTCAAGAAGGTCATGAAGTCCTAATGGAAGTGTTCAATATATTAATATTGTATTAAGTCCCATTGGGCTGTTTTTATTATTATTCACAAATTAAACTCAAAGGAATAAACACCTTTTTGGAGGCATTGGAGAGCAAGCAGAGCATAAAGGCAACCACAGCTTTCGATGTGTAACTCACTAAATCATAAATGCAAGGTGAATTTGACTAAGGTGCAATTGTGATGTGGTACAAGGTGATCACTTGAAAGCCATCTGTTATCTTTCTTGGCAGGTTTAGTTCCTGGGAAATGGCACTTCCTTTCTCGATCACTGCCAACTAATCGAAAACACGTCGTTGTTAGGTGTGTGACATAGTTCAAGTTTCTAGTAGTAGCAGCCAATGAGGCAGAAGTCATATCTTATTAAGAGCAGCAACAAGTTGACCGCCGTGGTTTTAATTCTGAGAACTCAGCAAATGCTACAGTTTATTTTTAGTACCCTCAAACCACTGCTGCTGTTTTTCAATTCATTTTGGTTGACTAACATTGAATTGAAAATACAGTGGTGTTGGCTTTCTATTAGCATATGGTTATTCCTCTCAGAAAACTGCCCACTAGACAATGAACTGGTGGGGCAAAAGAAAAGACGAAAGGAGAAAGGACAAGGAGGTGGTGGTGTCACATGATTTACTGGTGGCATGAATTACAGCTGCTGTGGCATCTGAATTTCCAGATCTTGATGTAGCTTAAGAAGCCTGATTGAAAATCCTAACAGCCTTTGGAAGAATACATTGGTTTGAAACAACACAGTATGAGATTTAGATGATGTTAATTGCTTTCAGATAGGATAGAGATGCCCATGATGGTTCTTTTTCCTGCTTTATTTACCCGTATTTTTAATCCTAAGGAAAACTGGGAAATTATGTAAAAACTGAAATTCAAAAAGTGGGCATGGATGTATTTTTTGGCATGAATCAACCTAGCCCATGAGTTTATACTGCCTAATTCCCCAATTAATCAGGCACTTTGTCTTGAAAAATACAGCATTGTAGTTCTCTTTTTAAGCACACTTACCATTGTGTGGATCATGAATAATTCAGATGACACAAGCAATTCACACCTGTGAGAGGTGTTGGGCAGAAAGAATAGAGCCTATTTGTGGTGGCAGCTGGGCTCTCTCAGGCGAAGGCCAGAACCTGAGAAATTAGGGCACTGCATCAGTCTATTAATCACTATTTTCAAGGGCCTACTATGTGCCAGGCAGTAAGTTACAAACCTCAGCTTCAAGAAGGCTAAGGAGGAAAGATAATTATAGGCTTCCTTCTGGCTCTGAAGTTCTGGGAGTATTGTCTTTTAATTCTGGCTTCACCACCAACCAGCCCGGTATCTTGAAGTGCGTTACTTAACTTCTCCAAGCCTCAATTTCCTCATTTGTAAATGAGGCTGATACTGATGATAAGACCTACTTCATAGAGTGTCTTGGGGATTGAATGACATCATGTATGTAGAGTATTTAGCACAGGGCCTAGCATTTAATAAATGCTTAATGTGAATATATTTTACTTCTTCGAGGAATGAAAAAGAAGGCATTCACGGGCTCAGAATTTAGGTGCAGACATGAATCCAACACACATACAATCCACTTCTTTCATCACATGTTAAATTTGATCTTGAATTTTGGGCTTCATTAAATAAACATGCGAGTGTCTTTCAGGTTTCAGGCATAGTCCCGAGTGTTTGGCATGGAAGGATGAGTCAAGATCCTTTTCCCTTATGATCCAGCAGCCGAGACAAACATGCAAATAGCAACCTCTACTCCAGTTTGATAAAACAAATTCTGTGGAGGAGGGTGCAGAGGAGAGGGATTGACTTAGTCAAATTAGAGGGGTCAGTGGGAATGTCATACGAGTTGGGCCTTGAAAGCTGAGTCGAATTTTTCCAGAAAACGGAGAAAAAGACATTTCAGGAAGAGAGAAGAACTTAGGCAAAGGCCTGGAGAGGGGTAAGTTCATGGCCTTATTTTGACTTTCTTTCTTGGGGCTGTTGATCCTTTTCCACTTGGGAAAGTTATGCTTACAGGCCCATAAGCAGCATCGTGCACAGAGCTGCCAGCTCACTCATTGCTGCTGCTGATGTAGGAGGTTTTCTTTCTGTTCAGGTAGCAGTGGGTTTGATGGAACAGCTCTGGAAGCCGTAGGACATTTGGGCAATTGAGCACTGAAAAAGGAACAGTTGATTCTGTAGTGTCCAGCATAGACAGAGGTGAAGTCAACATGGGTTATACCTCTCATAGAGGAATAGCAGCGGGAGATTTAAGTATGTTTGTGTTTGCAGAGTTAAGATCTAATAATTTGCTCAGCATTAGGTCAAAGTTACCTGATTTTCCTGAGAATTTGCTCTCACTAGCTGCTGTTGAGCTACGTCACCCAAATGTGTCATTTATTTTACGGTACCAACTGAGACATAACAAATGAAATAATCAGGTTACAATTAATTTTAAAATACATTTTCTGAGAACTCTTCACGAATTTTCTTCTGGAATATTCAATTATGTGTAAAAGAAATTGCTTTACCTTTGTTTTAATGATAACCACTGGTAATTAAATTTCACAATCACCTGGATTGGCAGGAAGCTTTGATTACCTTTATTATTTTAAATTGCAAAAAAGAAAAGTTCTTATCCTTAAGCTTCCAATTTAGCCTGTGGTACTTTATTATATTCTGAAATAAACAACGGCCAATTTGCAAAACAGTCTTCTTAATAATCATGGGTTACGTTTGCTTTTATAATTGAAATAAGAACTTTTTGCATATTAGCAATATGATTGCCAAATGGATAATTTCACAGTCAAGAAAAAAATCAACCCAAGCAAGTCAATAAATAAAGAAGATATGAGATGTTCTCAGTAACTGAAAAAGGTAAAACATTAAATATTAAAGGAACCCCAAGGATAAGAAGTTAAGATCGGGAAACATAAACACACTGTATTATCAAAATAAAATTGACACAGACTTTTAAAATTAAAATGCAAACAGAAAAAGGTAAAAAGTCAGTATTAGGTGCAGTCCTCAAAACCTTAATTGGGAAAAGAACATTCCTGAATGGATTGAGGTATTCATTTCTTTAGATTCTATACAACAGTAATGTGGGCCAGGTAAATCATGCTGTTTTCTGCTGTCACACTGGTGTTGATGTAGAAACGATAAATAGGAATTTTCATTACTCATTATTGGGGATTCATAACCAGTAACATAGGTAAGTCTTCCATATTCCTAGATGCAGATGGCAAAACTGAACTATAGTAATTCTGGCAAGACTTATGTATGTCTAACTAGAAATTCTCTGCATCCAATACTACAAAACAGGGTATTTTATTGAAACAGACATTCTCACTGAGAAGTTTTCTTTTGGACTTTTGGATTTTTCAGAAATTTTCTTCTGGAATATTCAATTATGTGTAAAAAATTGCTTTGCATTTGTTTTAATGATAACTGCTCAATAATTAAATTTCACATCGCCTAGATTGGCAGAAAGACTTGATTGCCTTTTTTATTTTAAATCACACATGCACAAATTCCGATTTAAAATATGATCTCAAATAAAACACTTGCAAAGCTAAAATTAACTCTGTGAGAGAAATTATTCACTCAGATGAGGAGTACTAGTCCTTGTTGTTTTTCTCCTGAGCATTCCACACCTCATTTTAACTTATTAGATTTTATTTTCCACTGTAGCAACTCAGATGAACCGAGTGATAGAGTCTGAGAGGTAAGGAGATTTTTCTTAGCATGCTACATATTTGCAGTGTTTGACAAGGGGGACCCAGTGATTTGTGAACTTGTGCTGAAACGCTGGTTCTCCCCACTAACGCCATGAAGTGCACTGGGTGACCCTGTCATTTGCCTAACTTTTGGGGAATGTGAACACCAGGTATTTTCCATGGCCAGTCTGTGCAGGGTTTAGCTGGACAGTATGTTCTGAGAGCTGCCACCTGGGGCCTGGCCTGAGTGTCAGCCCTGCTGAGGGCCATCTGCTGCTGGGCAGGGTCTCCCATTTTTGCACAATGGTGAAAATAACTGGACATTCGGTTTGGAACACCTATACAAGAGCGGTGTCACATAGGAATGTTTTGGAAGAGTTTTCTGCCAGAAGATCAAGATTCCGGTCAAGGCAAATACAGACAAAAAGACATGAACCTAGTAATAGACAGACATATGATTAATAGCATCCCCTATCACCCACCAATCATTTATCTTTTATGAATGTATGTATTCTCATTTCATGGCTTCTGAAATATGTCATTTAATTTTCAAAACAAAATGGCTTTTTCCCCCTCCCTCCTTCTCTACTTTCTTTCCTTTCTTTCTCCATTCTTCCCCTCCCCTCTCCCTCTTTTCTTCCCTCCCTACCTTCCCTCCCTGCTCCCTCTACCCACCTTCTTCTCCTTCCTTCCTTCCTTCCTTCCTTCCTTCCTGCCCCCTTTCCTCCCTCCCTCTCCCCTCCCTCTTCCCCTTTCCTTCCTTCCTTCCTTCCTTCCTTCCTTCCTTCCTTCCTGCCCCCTTTCCTCCCTCCCTCTCCCCTCCCTCTTCCCCTTTCCTTCCTTCCTTCCTTCCTTCCTTCCTTCCTTCCTTCCTTCCTTCCTTCCTTATTTTGTCTCTTTTTCTTCTCTCATCTGTTGTTGGTCAGATTTCTATTTAGAGATGTTTTCATCAATCCCACATTTGATTTTCTTTACTGTTCATAGTTTGCAAATCCTCTAGGCACCTTCCTGCTTTTCCTTCCCTTTGGCCCATGGGGAAGGAAGCTGGTATTCTGTCTCTCACATGGATTCAGGTTGGGAGTCAAGATGGATACCTGTGTCTCTGGCGCAGGCTAGTTGGTGTGACAGAACACAACGATGTGTCTCCAAGCTACAAATAAATGCAGAGGTTTATTTAAAGTCTCCATGGCTAGAGGAAACGGCAGTTAGAGATGGGCCGGCCCTATAGGTAGTGTGCTCTGCAATGGGACCTAGGTGGCTCTCCTCTGGGACCTGAAGCTAAAGAATTGGGATGAGTATATCATCCACTGGCCACAAACCTTTCAGCTGTGCATTCTGGGAGAGCCAGCCACTAGCTGCTTGTGCAAATAACCTGCCTTTCTCCTCATTTATAATTAATCATACACCTTTGTGAGACTAATCTGAATATAGTCTGTATAGTATGAACTAATTGTAGCATTCCCTTGCTTCAACAGTTTGGCCTGTCAAAATCACTCAACCTCAGCCTATTTGTAGTGCAGTGTAAAGTATTATTTTCAATCAACCAATATTTTAATGTCCTAAGAAAAAAGAGCTGGACTGACTAGATTGAGAACAAGGAGGAACCTTGGTAGTTGTTTAACAGATTCCACATTGTATAAGAAAATCAGAGCCCAAGGAACTCAGAAACGATCTCATGCCACTCAGTTACTTGACAGCAGAGCTAGAGCTGGAACTGTCATCTAGGATCCAAGCTCCTGTGACATTAATGCTCCCCGCACCCACTTCTTGGCTCATCCTAAAGAGTAGCATCATCCTTAGAGAATTTCTTGTAGACTTTTTTTTTTCTTTCTGGCCTCATAGAGGCTGCTCTATTTAATTACTTAATACTTTCAAAAAAGAAGTCATAAAGTGCTTTATGTTTTAAATGGGCCTCAGATCTCCAGGCTGTTGTGCCCATAAAGGCACAAAGATTTAAGTGGCCTAGGTCTGCCCTAACTGTGTATAGCTGTGTTGTCCAGTATGGTAACTACTAGTCACATGTGGCTATTTAAATTTAAATGTAAAAATATTCAGTTCCTAAGTAACCCTAGGCACCTTTCTAGTGCTCAATAGCACACATGGCCAGTGGCTACCATATTGGACTACACAGATACAAAACATTTTTATCATTTTTTTACAGGAAATTCTCTAAGACAGAGACAAAACTAATGTAAAATCAACAAGCTAAAAAGAGAAAATCTGATCCAGTGCTCTCCCATTGCTGTGTGTGCTTCTTGTGCTGTTTAGGTTATCTTTCACTAATTTTGCAAATCGACTTTTTAAAAAAGTAATTTCTTTATGACCTTGAGGGAAACTGTGGAATGACAGCTAGAGGATGATATTGGGGAGGGTAATTAAAAATGTTTATAAACTCTCTAGTCCTGAGGTATGATTCAAGCTTTATTTAAAAAGTGCTTTCTTGTTTCCCTAATGGCAACTCAATTTCTTTTTCAAATAAACCCACAGTGAGTTCTGATTTCACCCTCAAAGAGGAAAAAGTGCCCATGTCCAAAAAACGTTTGGATCTTACCATTGTATCTCCTTTAAAGACATCGTAAGGAAAACTGAATGTGTGGACTGAGGTTGCTAGTGGCATATACAAGCCATGTTATTTAAGAGAGCTTTTCTACCAAGCTGGCCATCAGCGGCTAGCTAGAAGGATTTTTACTTCTACAAAAAGCCCACATTGGGGCAAAGCAATTGCACTGGTTTTTAGAAAATAAAGTTAGCTTTTGGAATTTTCAGCACATTTAATTGGGGTGAAATGCATGCAAATAAGATGCAGGAACATGACAGTTTCTAAGAAAAGGAAACAGTTCTCCTTGAACTTCTGTTACCATCCTGAAGTGCAACAAAATGGGAAGGTGGAAGGTATCTTTAAAGTGTCAAGTATCTGTCAAGAAAGAGGTGAATGTTGAGGCCATTGGATTCAGAAATGATAATAACCAAAAGACTATGACATGGTAATTTGTTATTTATTGACAACTTATAGGGCAATATGAATCACAGAAGCACTTGGGTGATAACCTTACGCAATTCTTTTCTCATCAGAGGCCCAGTTCCTGGATTTTATCAGGCCCCATTATTGCCTTCTGCATCCTCAGTACTGGCTGGATATTGTCCTTTTCAAGGAAGTGAAACCTAGCACTTACTTATTACTTCACGTAATGCCATATTAGCAATGTAAAATGCTTTTTCTTACATGTTGTTGCTTCCATGGAATAAGCCCAAGAGACTGTGTTGGGACAGCAAAGAAATGGGAAGCAGGGAGCGTGGCTGTCGCAGTAGATCTTCTGCAGCATCTGTCAGAGGGTGGGGGCTGTCATTGACCTCTAAGGGCCTGATTCTCAAGACCTAGACCTGCACTGTCCAGTGTGACAGCCACATGTGGTTACTGAGCCCTTGAAACACGGCTAGTCTGAATTGAGATGTGCTACAAGTGTAAAATTCACACTAGGGTTCAAACCCTTAGTACAAAGCCAAAAAATAAAAAATATCTGATTCATAACCTTTGAAATATTGAATATATGTTTAGGTGATAATATTTTGGATCTAGGCCTGGCACAGTGGCTCACACCTGTAATCCCAGAACTTTGGGAGGCCGAGGCAGGTGGATCACCTGAGGTCAGGAGTTTGAAATCAGCCTGACCATCATGGTGAGACCCAGTCTCTACTAAAAATACAAAAAGTAGCTGGGCATG